CTCGCGCTTGTTGGATATGAGATAATTATAGCCAACTCGGCGCTACGCGCCTCGTTGGCTATCTATCATCTCATATCCAACGCGCGCTCGTGGAATAATTGTTGATTATACCATTCGAAAGCGTTGTATAACCAGTATGAAGAACTACCCCTCAACAACGTTTTGATCAGCCGAGGCGGATAGTAAGGAGACTGGTACCTCTAAATCTCGTTGAAGCCATTTGTATTGTCGAACGAGAGGTTCCATTCCATATTCCAGGAAGTAGTACAATTCTGTGCTAAAACTTATGATATGTACTGGTCCAATATTCCAACTGTGACAAAAGAGAAAAAAAAAACTCATTACGTCGATATCAAATGCAATCTGTTGGTCAAATAAAAGCTAAAAAGGGCACTGATTTAAGATTTAGAAATACGAATAAATTAGGGGCTGTTAGATGAGCAAGGCAAACTGACACATGCGCAGTGGTAGCATCCTACCTGTAGTAAATTCCTTCTGTGTTACCAGGCATGCTGAAACGCTCTCTGTAGTTTGAGAAGTTACTGGAGGCAAAGAGAGATGCTTGGAAATAAGATTTTACATTATATTCTTCTGGTAAAATAAGTGGAAAACCGATCTGACTGAGATTCTTCAGAAGAAAAATAATAATGTCCACTGGGAAAAAGAACGTGCCACCAATATTCGATATAGGTGTGATTTTCCTGCATTTATTTTTTTTACACGTTTCGAACGGAGTCACTTGTGGTTTTTGTTATTACGTCCTTAAATTCGAAGTTGACATTTAAAGTTTTTGGGTTCTCCGAAACAGATAATCTTATTCATTAACTGAAAAACGCAACAGAAGTAAAAAACTTCATTCTAAAATCCGTCGTCGTGGAGGGCTGGAGGCTTGTCCACCTCGGCCCAAGCTGTGATTGACACAATTTATTTCAACTAGAATCATGTTTCGTTTTCTAACTAATACACCGAATCGAAATACGGCATCCAATTTGAATTACCATTGTTCTGGACTTACTAGCCTCTCACAGATGCGATAATCCTTTTGTGTTTTCCACATGAAGACGAGGCTAGTAGGTCCAAAACAATGGTAATTCAAATTGGACGCCATATTTTGATTCAGTGAATGACGCCTAAAAGGTAAAGGAACTGCGTAGAAACGTCACTGAAGAAGATTTAATTCCCCATTTCAAAAACGAGTGGGGGAGTGGGTCGAGTTCGCCGCGCAGGTTTGTCTGGGATCGTTACTCGGGACACAAATCTATAGTAAACAAAGATTTGTGTCCCGAGTAACGA